ACTCGCCAGCTTGTTGGCAATGAACGAGATCGCCGCCGTATACCCGAAGGAGCCCAGACCGACTATCACGCCTTTTGCAATGTCCGAGAGGTAGGAATGGTGTCGGAACGATTCGCGAGCGTGAACATTCGAGATCTGGTGTATGTAGTGATGATGTGGTGTTCAGTGTCTTTGGCCCCGCTGTGCGATCGTACGGTGCTGGTGAAATCAAGACTTACATGGACCTCGATGAAAGGCACAGGCACGCTTGACAGTGCATCCCGGAGGGCGACACTTGTATGTGTGTACGCACCTGCGTTGATGACGATAGCCGCCGTTCCATCCGCTCGTGCAGCGTGGATTCGGTCGATGAGAGCGCCTTCGTGGTTCGACTGGAATGCATCGAATCCTAGCCCGAGCTCGGAGCACTGCTTCTGCGCCTTCTGCTCGATGTCCGACATGGTTTCTTTGCCGTACCTATTGCAAAGTGCCAACGTGATTTCGGCAGCATATCGGCGTCAGCTCTGCCTCTGTTCTTCGACGCCGGATGCACGTTGCCGAAGTAGGATTGCCAAAAAGGACTCACTTTTCAGGCTCTCGTGTGCCTAGCAGGTTGAGATTCGGACCGTGGATGAGCAGGATGCTCGGGCCCAACGCCTTGGTAGCCTCGGAGGTCATGTTGAATGTTGCAAATAAGGTTTGGCAGGGATGATGGGGCTTCGTTCTCGCGCTCTTGGAAGTCGGAAGGAAAGGCTCACTGCGTCAAAACTTCTGGAAACGCTCTGCATTGAATCCTCGACTGCGGGGAGCCGGGGCCCCAGCAGCGCAAGAGCATGGACTGGGTGTCCTGCCACCTTTTGTCTGTGGAGAAGGGGGCTGCACGGAGGAGCTCGGACCAGGCTGTCCGGAAGAATGTAGAAGCGGAGCTGCCTCATGCTCGTCCGCCAACCCGCATTATTTTTAGCCGAAGCCGCCAGGCGAATATCCGCCGATTGCCGGTGCTCATTTGCGCTCCGGGAATCATGCACAACAAAGTCCGGGGAAAACAAGACGTGCATTTCGGACATCATCATGGCGACAAGCGTCGTGATGGAGAGAACAAGGGGTCGTGGCAAAACAAGGCAGAATTCTTATGGCGTGGAATTGTGCAGGACATGAATCAAGGGCCGTAGAACCCAGCGCCACGACGTTGCTTGCCGGCGGGCTTGCCGGGGGCAGGGCTGAGGAGACGGACACCGTGGCTTTGGCGAAGCACCTTGTCACCAGGGCCAGGAGCAGGTTGAGGGAACTGAGGATCGTTGCTGTACACGCCGACGAACATGTTGCCGTTGTCCAACTTCTGGCAGACGCCACTCTTGGGCTTGACGGCGGAGACGTCGAGCTGGGCACATCGGTGGTAGCCGTCCTGTCCAATGTCGTAGTACTCGGGGCTGAAGATGATGTCGCAGTTGTCGCCCTGGGGTCGGAAAGTCTTGAACGACTTGGATCCCGTGGTCTTGACCGGAGTGCACTGGGCGGCGCTGTAGACCTGCTTGGTGGCACGTCCGGTGCAGTCGTCCGAGTCGTACAGCTGCAACACGCCTCCCTTGCCCCACGAGGCTTTCTCGAGGCAGACGGTCTGAGTGCCCCGGCGGTGAGGGTGCCTCTCTTCGGCGCAGGCGTGGGCTGATTCAGTGATGGGGATATTGTCCTCATCCCAAGCGACGCCGGGCGGGTTGAACGAGTCGTCAGCCTTGACCGTCCACACGCCCACGCGCTTGGCATCGAGGTTGGCGAAGCTGACGCACGACTTGCTCTGGTACGCCTTCATCGTCTCGGACGACGACATCCAGGCCATGTTCTGCACCACCGAATCCGATTCCTCTTGACGAGCAAAGCCCAGACCGATGCCAGGGACCGCACCGATGATACGAACCGATCCCACAGGCTCCTTGAGCGAATGGGCCACAGCTCCTTCAAAGAGCATCTGCTTGTTTCCTTTGATAAGGGCTTGAGGGGTGGTGCGGACCAGGTTGAGCGCCTGGGAGCATTGAGCATCTTTGAAGAAGGCAACCTGAAGAACGGGGCAGTCCTGGGAGTTCTTGGCAAAGTCGGTCCAGCACTCGCTACCGTCCGAGACGGCAGCGCGCTTGTCCATGGGGATCGACGAGTGCTGCACGCTTCCCAGAACACCCAGGGGCGCAAGGGAAGACGCGACAAGCAGGGCAGAGAGAAGAGACTTCATGGCGATCGAGGGCATGGTGGCAGCAGCAGAGTGGTGAGAGGCGTGGCGATGAGAGGATGGAGAAGAGACAATGTCACGAGCTCGAGCAGGCTTCTCTTATACCTTTGCGAGTGCAAGGCTCCGGGAATAGGCTCCGTCCAGCCAGAACGTGTGGGTGGGAGCAGTTCGGAACGGTGGAGCTAGGTATGTCGTGCGAAGACGAAAGGGAATGCCATGAACGCCGCGCGGTCCCGCCTCTCCTCCTTGACATTGTGGGTATCATTTCAACCCACCTGGACGCCGACAAATGAAGGAGCGCAACTGGCAGATGTGGCGCCGCCGCTCAATTTATCTTCTTTGGCAGATGAGAGGGGTCCCGCCTCTCCTCGTTGGCATCGTATCATTTCAACTTACACGGACGCCGGCAGATGAAGGCTCGGAACGCTTAGTTTTTGGGCCGCTCAATTTATATCTTGCGGATGAGAGGCGATCTAGTCTACTTTGCGATGATTTGCGCCCTTGGGGGGAGGAGCGATGGGTCCTTTTGGCGGAGCAGCCATTCTGGAGTGCATGTTCTGACCCGTGCTGTTGTACATGCCCGTTGCGGCGCCGCCTGGCAGACTGGCTACCGAGTTCATCAGCGGGTATGCGCCGTCTGCCATCACAGCGCCAGAGCTCGCTTCTTGCAGTGCAGTCTGGTCCCCACCGTACTGCCACGGTGCTCGCGAGGTGCGGCCCGGGCCGAAAGCGCTGCGGTTCGTATCGTTGAAGATTCCTCCCACCAGCTCAGCGGCCCGCTTGCCCCCCGTACCGAACCCACCAAACCCACCGTTGACCGTGAAGCCTGCGGCACCGTTCGCATCTGCCGTCCTGCCGTACACGTTGGCGTTACGCTCGAACGCCTGTGCGGAAGGCGCCAGTGGCGCATCGGCAAACCTGGGCAGGAGGCGCAGGATGAGGCTGTGCAGCTTGACTGTGGGCCAGAAGACGGCGAGACGCGAGGGAATTAGGCGATGCAGGGGCCCACTGGCATAGTCGGACGCGCCAGAAGCGACGGTGTAGGCCGATGAAGCGGCGAGCGCGCCCGATGCCGAGATCCTCGGCTGAGGATCGGCGAGCATGGCAAGCACGGTGCAGAAGGGGAAGACGAGCATGAAGAGCATCAGGTTCAGCAGGCCGCTCGGATGGAAGAACGAGACGGCAGTTGATGGCAGGCCAAAGGCCACAAAGTAGGACCACCTCTCCTCGCAGTATCGCATGCGGCGGCCGAGCGACCAACCCCGCGAGATCCAGGCCTGTTCGAAGCAGTAGTATCCGTCCACGAGGCACATGAAGAGGAACGAGAGCGATCGGCCAAGGTACGGAATGCGACCAAGGAGGATGTATAGAAGCGTGTAGTTGACGATGAGGATGATGCGGTAGCTCTCTTGCACGAGTCTGCGCGACGTGCCTGGTGGCAGCGAAGGGTTGGAGAGCGTGAGCCTGCGCACGTGTCCGTGACGTAGCTTGTAGGCCGCTTGAGCGATGTCGGACGTCCACGAGGAGGCCAGCAGATAGCTGCCGCCGATGAGCGGGTACATCCAGAAGACATTGCCCAAGTTGCCGATGATCGACCCAGATTCGGCGATGTCCTGCATCGCCTTGACCGGCGGCTTTTGCTGGAAGAGTACGGTAGGGAAAAAGGCGAGCTCGAAGAAGAAGACGAGAGCAGAGATGGTGCCGCTGAGTAGCAAGCCCTTCAAGACGCCGTTGCGAATCTCGCTCGAGCTGCCGATGAGCTTGAAGGCTTCGGGCCATCGATTCGCATCTCCCCATCCAGCCTTGGCCCAGTTGAGGTGGCAATGCAAGCTCTTGAGCAGAGGAAGGCGCGGTACGTAGTCTGCGGGACCTTTTGCGGACCACGAAGTAGGACGAGCGCTGGATCCGAGTGGCCAGGGGAGTCCAGTGTCGTAGGCCTCGTCGATCCTGCCTCCGCCTGCGCCTTCGATGTCGAGGTCGACATCCGAGACCGACAGGCCGTTGGGTCGGTGACCAAAGCCGTTGGAGGAGCCACGGCTGTTTGCTGGAGTTCCAAGCATCGTGATGATGATGGCAGCTGCGTCGTCACTGGCCTTATGAGCCGGTTGGACGTTTAAATGCGTGGAGCTGTACCAATGCTTGACGCCTGCCCGCTCCACAACGTGGCACTATGTTCTCCAGCTTGCTGCACCGATGCGAGCCTAAGGCCAAGAGCGTTCACGAAGATGGGACGAGTCCTCGGGTATGTTGGAGCTGGAAGAGGTGGATGTAGTGCGACAAGTGTGTGTCTCAGTGTGTGTGCTTCTTGGCACATGCGGGCCAAGTGTGTTATTCGTGCTCAGACCTTCCTGCTGTTCAAACCCTCCACCTCATTTCCCGGATTCCGCTCAATATCATGCTGGCGAGTTTCCACAGACGTCTGTATATGTTGTGCTCGGGCACCCTCACGTCTCCGTCCCGGCTAGCTCAGTCGGTAGAGCGTCAG